ACGATAATTCACCAAGCACAAAGACAAGAAACTGGTGTCTTGCTCAGGCGATGTCTGTCACATGAAGGAGGAAAAATCAGTAAGGATGCATCGGGGTCGCAGGACTGTGGATCGAGGGTTTATTTGTACAAACCTACAGTCACAACTCCAAGGCAATCCCCTACAGCATCTGATGGGGCCAACTTACGAATCCCTTCCACCTGCCTCGTCAACATGACATTTTATTTCGGAGGAAAAGTTAGTTTGAAGGAATTAGTGAATCAATTCCACCCGAAACTGAAGGATTACTTTGGAGTGGAGTAAAGTGCCTTGGATTACGCGAAGAAGTCCTCAGCTCTCTGTCCTTCCGCCCTGAAGAAGGCGTAATAAGTTTCCGTCTGCCTTATGACAGGAATCGTTAGAGCAAGAAAGCATAATTCACGAAAAATCGCATTAAATACTAAATGCTATGCATTTGGTCCGCATTGGTTGATATCTTAGGGTACTTTTCGAGTCACACAGGTACCAACTAAATCACACACTTTTATTTGTGTATGAATAGGGCTTTGACGAGATGTGTTCACCCTATCTCGTTTAAGGTGATAAATGGCTGGTAGTTTAATTTTCCCACAATCTTATGAGTAGATGGTAATGCCACTACGTCATACTGCCACGAGTGTCCTTGGGTCACAGGGCAGATGTGAACTTCAAGGAATCCTGGGCCTTGCCAATATCACATTTTGTGGTGGGATTGACAATAGGGCAAAGTAATATTTGTAATGAAATGAAGCTGGTAGTCTCGAAACCCTACTCAATTATGACTATAAAGTAATATTTGCCACAGCAAGCAATTACATAACTTGTTTTTTGTTTGGAAGAAGAGCTTCAAGGATAAATGAGATTGTCTTTCAGAACCTTGTTGTGTTCCATTTGTCACATCTGCTGACGGTTGAAAGACAATCAATGAAATATGACGGCAAATAGAACATTCTAAACCCTGCGGGCCACGGCCTAGCAGAGAAAAAGAAAGAGAAAGAGAAGACCAAGTTGGTGTGGCCTTTTGTGTGGTCGCAGTCTCCTTTCGTTGCATAGAAGTTTTTTGACCTTATCTTCGCAACCTGGTCATATTGGTAGGAAGACTTAGAGAAACACACCTTGTCCTGAGTCTATTGTATGCATTCTCATTTCCAGAGTAGGACCGTGGAGGTGGTACATTCCCAGACGTCTCGCCGGCATCGTCAGTGAGTCTCGCCATTCGTAGCG